TAAACAATGTAAGAATGGCCATACTGGGTCAGACCAAAGGTCCATCCAGCTCAGTACCCTGTCTGCCGACAGTGGCCAATGCCAGATGTCCCAGAAGGAGTGAATAAACAGGTACTGATCAAGCAATCTCTCTCCTGCCATCCATATCCACCCTCTGACAAACAGAGTCTAGGGACACCATTCCTTACCTATACTGGCTAATAGCCATTAATGGACTTAACTTCCATGAATTTATATAGTTCTCTTTTAAACCCTGTTAGTTCCACAGATTGACTATGTGTTGTGTGAAGAATTTCCTTTTTTTTTTCTTTAAACCTGCTGCCCATTAGTTTAATTTGGTGGCTCCTAGTTCTTATATTATGGGAACAAGTAAATAACTTTTCCTTATTCACTTTCTTCACACCACTCATGATTTTATATACCTCTATCATATCCCCCCTTAGTCTCTTCTTTTCCATGCTGAAAAGTGCTAATCTCTTTAAACTTTCCTCATATGGGACCCGTTCCAAACTGTAGCTGAGTCCTGGGGACCGGGAGTGTTCCCCCCCACCCTGGGGTGGGGGCCCCGCAGGCTTGCAGCCCCTTTTTCCCCATGCGCCCTCCCCCTCGGTCCACCTTTCGTCTGCTCCTGCAGCACGGGCCCTCAATCCTTCTGGTGGCTTGCGTCCGTGTTCCTGGGGAGTCTCTTTGGAGGCCTGACCCGTTCCAAACTGTAGCTGAGTCCTGGGGACCGGGAGTGTTCCCCCCCACCCTGGGGTGGGGGCCCCGCAGGCTTGCAGCCCCTTTTTCCCCATGCGCCCTCCCCCTCGGTCCACCTTTCGTCTGCTCCTGCAGCACGGGCCCTCAATCCTTCTGGTGGCTTGCGTCCGTGTTCCTGGGGAGTCTCTTTGGAGGCCTGGCGTCCGTCTGTTTGTCCTCCTCCTCCGGCCGCCATCCACCCCAGCCTCCATGGTCCGCTGCCCCGTCAATCCTGGTGGCTCCCAGTGCTCGGGTCCCCTGGCTCCACGTCCCTGGTGTGGTCGCCACTTCCTCAGTCTGACGGGTGGAAGGGGGGTTGAGAGCGACACCAGACCCTGCTCTCTCTCCCCCGCTTTTTCCTCCTCCCTTATCTGCTCCTCCCGGCTTGCCTCCGCCCCCCTGGCTCGGCCCCGCGTCCCCGAGTCCTAACGCCCGCCGGCTTGGCCCTGGGGGAGGGTGTGCATGTACGGTGTCCCCGGGTGCGTTCTCTCGCCCCGTGCTGGCTGCTCCACCCATGCCACGGCAAGCTGGCTCTGGGCCGCTGTCAGTGCGGGGGTTGGATCCCCAGTCACACAAACCTCTAATCATTTTAGTTGCCCTTCTCTGAACCTTTTCTAATGCCAGTATATCTTTTTTGAGATGAGACCACATCTGTATGCTGTATTCCAGATGTGGGCGTACCATGGATTTATATAAGGGCAATAAGATATTCTCTGTCTTATTCTCTATCCCTTTTTTAATGATTCCTAACATCCTGTTTGCTTTTTTGACTGCTGCTGCACACTGCATGGTTGTCTTCAGAGAACTATCCACGATAACTCCAAGATCTCTTTCCTGATTTGTTGTAGCTAAATGAGCTCCCATCATATTATACGTATAGTTGGAGTTATTTTTTCCAATGTGCATGACTTTACATTTATCCACATTAAATTTCATTTGCCATTTTGTTGTCACCTAGTTTTGTGAGATCTTTTTGAAGTTCTTCACAGTCTGCTTTGGTCTTAACTACCTTGAGCAGTTTAGTATCGTCTGCAAACTTTGCCACCTCACAGTTTACTCCTTTCTCCAGATCATTTATGAATAAGTTGAATAGGATTGGTCCTAGGACTGACCCTTGGGGAACAACACTAGTTACCCCTCTCCGTTCTGAACATTTACAATTTATTCCTACCCTTTGTTTCCTGTCTTTAAACCAGTTCTCAGTCCATGAAAGGATCTTCTCTTTTATCCCATGGCATCTTAATTTACATAAGAGCCTTTGGTGAGGGACCTTGTCAAAGGCTTTCTGCAAATCCAAGTACACTATATCTACTGGATCCCCCTTGTCCACATGTTTGTTGACTCCTTCAAAGAACTCTAATAGACTAGTAAGACATGATTTCCCTTTGCAGAAACCATGTTGACTTTTGCCCAACAATTTATGTCCTTCTATGTGTCTGACAATTCTATTGTTTACTATTGTTTCAACTAATTTGCCCGGTACTGACGTTAGACTTACCAGTCTGTAATTGCTGGGATCGCCTCTAGAGCCTCTTTTAAATATTGACGTTATATTAGCTATCTTCCAGTCATTGGGTACAGAAGCTGATTTAAAGGAGAGGTTACAAACCATAGTTAATAGTTCCACAGTTTCACATTTGAGTTCTTTCAGAACTCTTGTGTGAATGCCATTTGGTCCCGGTGACTCGTTACTGTTAAGTTTATCAATTAATTCCAAAACTTCTTCTAAATGACACTTCAATCTGTGACAAGTCCTTAGATTTATCACCTACAAAGGGCTGGTCAGGTTTGGGAATCTCCCTAACATCCTCAGCCGTAAACACTGAAGCAAAGAATTCATTTAGTTGCTCGTCAATGACTTTTTATCATCTTTAAGTGCTCCTTTTTTATCTTGATCATCCAGGAGCCCCACGGGTTTTTCAGCAGGCTTCCTGCTTCTGATGTACTTAAAAAACATTTTATTATTACCTTTTGAGTTTTTGGCTAGCTGTTCTTCAAACTCCTTTTTGGCTTTTCTTATTACATTTTTACACTTAATTTGGCAGTGTTTATGCTTCTTTCTATTTACCTCGCTAGGATTTGACTTCCACTTTTTAAAAGTTGTCTTTTTATCTCTGACTGCTTCTTTTACATGCTTGTTAAGCCATGGTGGCTCTTTTTTAGTTCTTCCACTAAGTTTTTTAATTTGGGGTATACATTTAAGTTGGGCTTCTAGTATGGTGTCTTTGAAAAGTGTCCTCGTAGCTTGCAGGGATTTTACTTTAGTCACTGTACCTTTTAATTTCTGTTTAACTAACTTCCTCATTTTTGCATAGTTCCCCTTTCTGAAATTAAATGCCAGAGTGTTGGGCTGCTGAGGTGTTCTTCCCACCACAGGAATGTTAAATGTTATTATATTATGGTCACTATTTCCAAGCGGTCCTGTTATAGTTACCTCTTGGACCAGATCCTGCGCGCCATTCAGGACTAAATCGAGAATTGCCTCTCCCTTTGTGGGTTCCTGTACCAACTACTCCAAGAAGCAGTCATTTAAGGTATCAAGAAATCTTGTCTCTGTATCTCGTCCTGAGGTGACATGTACCCAGTCAATATGGGGATAGTTGAAATCCCCCACTATTATTGAGTTCTTTATTTTGATAACCTATTTAATTTCTCTTACCATTTCATAGTTACTATTACTGTCCTGGTCAGGTGGTAGATAATAGATCCCTACTGTTATATTGTTATTAGAGCAGGGAATTACTATCTATAGCGATTCTATGGAACATGTTGATTCATTTAAGATTTTTACTTCATTTGATTCTAAATTTTCTTTCACATATAGTGCCATTCCCCCACCCACATGACCAGTTCTGTCCTTCCGATATATTTTGTACCCCGGAATGATTGTGTTCCATTGATTTTCCTCACTCCACTAGGTTTCTGTGATGCCTATTATGTCAATCTTCTCCTTTAACACAAGGCACTCTAGTTCACATATCTTATTCTTTAGACTTCTAGCATTTGTGTACAAGCACTTTAAAAACTTGCATAAAACGATTCATAAAACCAGCAAAAGTGAAAGAACAAACCTATCACTCAAAGTAGAACTGTCCACAAAATTAGCAGAAATTTAGTTTTAGTATTTTTGCTTCCCTAGTCCCTCTCAAAAGCTTCTATAAAAAGAAAGCATTCCAAATCTATCTAAAATCATTCTTTTCAGTGTTATCTGTCTACCCTCTCCCTGCATAGGCCCCTACCTCAGCTTTTAATAACAGTAGTAAATGTGCCAGTAACTCCTAGGTCTCTATCCAGTTGTGATTATCATCTTCACTGTCTTACTCAATGACATTGAACAATGAAACTTTAGATACCCGCCTGCCCCAGTACCTTTGTCTGTGTCTAGACGACATCCTTTTCTTGAAAAAGGGATGTAAATTAGACACTTCGAAATGGCAAATGAAGCCAGGATTTAAATTTCCCACGCTTCATTGCATAATGGCAGCTGTGGTTTTTTCGACACGGGGCTTTTCGATAGAAAAACCGCTGTTTAGATGGGGATGTTTTGAAAATAAAACCCTTTTTTGAAAGATCCTGTACTCCTCAAAAAATGAGGTTCCGGGGGAAATGTCGCAAGTCGGGGTCATCGTAACTCGAACCCGCATTTACAATAGGAGCCATGCGCCTTCGTAAATGTGGGCCGAGGACATACGTGTGTGTGTGTGTGTGTGTGTGTATGTATATGTATATGTATATGTGTGTGTGTGTGTGTGTGTGTGTGTATATATATATATATATATAATCTAAAGGTTAATTCTAAGGTGCCACAGGACAAGGACTACTTGTTTTTAAAAGTTGTTTCTAAAGAGAAATTATTTACTTCAAGATTATTCCATAGAATATTTATAATTTATATTTAATCTAAAATATTGCTGTACAGAAATGTTTTCAAAACAATGATTATATTCAGATTGTGGTAAATTTGCTTCTAAGACAATGAAATATGAGGACTAAAAGGAGAAAACTCTTTATAATTAGGAAAAAACCCAGGAACTGTATTTTCATACTGCTTTCTGCATGATTGTTTTAAAACATGAAAGGATTATTTGCAGTTGAACTTTCATAACATAATTTTCATGATTATTGTCTGAATAATTCAGTTTTTTCCGTTGTGTTACTTCTGATAAAAAGCCAAATATATCTTTTCCAGCAAGCAATACAACTCTCATTTATACTGTTTTGTTTTAATAGAAGGTGAATAAGAATTGTATTAAACTTTACAGATGAGCATGGCTTGAGTTTGCCTCTTGGAGACGAATATGAAAGAAAGAAATATAAGCTAAAAGAGGAACTTCGACAAGATTATAGACGATATCTTTCTCAGGTAAAACCTCTTGAAATTAGTCTCTGATTTTAACAAAAAATAAAACCACCAGGACAAGACTTACTTTATTCTGAGCTGTTTCAGTTTCAAATACCTGGTTCCAGTATAAAGATGGTTTCCAATGCCAACACCATGAGGAGTAATATGCTGTAGTCTTCCTGGGCATGTTTACCCTTAGGAGAAGATTAACAGGAGGTCAATCTTCTACCCTTCAATTTAGCTGGTCTATACTGGTCTATTTATACCTGCTAAACTGAACACCGAGGGCACTCCCAGCATTCCTCTTTCTGGGAGGAGTAAAAGAGTTTACTCCCATTGGCCTCCTTCTGTGTGGACACCACCAAGGCTCAGCTTAAGGAAAGCCAACTCCAACTATACATTTTGAGTAGCTGGAGTTGCGTACCTTAAGCTGACCTGCCGGGTCTAGTGTAGACCTGACCCCAGAGTTTCTGCTGCCTTCAAATTTCAAATTACTGTAGTACAACTTGATTAAAGTAATTTAAAATTTTCTCTATCTTTTTTTATTCTTCTTGGGTATTTAATATTCCAAACATGTATTTGCTTAACAAGTGATTACCCATGTTATGATGTAATACCTTAGGTAAGACTGTTCATATAACCAATATGGTGCTTCAGTTTTATTTGGAGACTTCACAATTCTACATGTTTGATTATAAAGAAGGCTGTTACTGTTCTGCTTAGTACACTGAATGAGATGCTACTGTGATGATTTAAAACTTAAACTTGTATGGAAGAATCATGGCATCATTTTCATCTTTTTTGACTATTCTAAATATAGTTTTAATCAGATTTTTCAAAGTTAAATGAGAAATTTAGTTTAATGTAATTTGCAGCTGTGTATGTCTGGAGTTATTGCCTGTCAGCTTGTTTAAAATAGATGGATACAGAGTTTTTTTTAAAAGTGTTTTTTTTTGAATTGGTTATAATCAAATGGTTTTAATGGGGGACACTTTATGAATAGTCTGTTTTCCCTGACTTCCAGGGTATTTCACAAGCAAAAAGAAAGGTAGGGTGCCAGCAGTGTGTCTTTCCCCACCAAATTAGCTTTTTGCTTTGTTACAATCAGATTTGTACAAATGAAACATTAAAAAATCATGTAGTGTTTGTGTTGTGTGTGTGTTGCTGTTGTGATTAATAGTATTTGTATGCTTGCTTATTGTAAAATGATACACTATGCTTATTATTTCTCATTAATAATATTGTACAACATTGATTGATTTCTTCTTTGTATTTGCTATCATTGCTAGATCATGCTGACTATTCAATAATTTGTTTCTAAAGATAGATGACTTGCTATAAAACATACCCCCTCAGTCTTCATCAGTTACATTAGACAAGCACTGTACATAAAGAATTTTTAATGGGACTTTCTGAAATTAGTAAAGTTTTTGAAAGAGTACCAAATCAGTACAATGTGTCAAGAAAAATAATTTCATTTTAATCGGGAGCTTCCTGCTCCTTTGTTCCACTAAGTGGCTCTTCAGTGAGGTGAAACTGACAGACTGCATAGGGGAACTGTGGAACTGTCTATGCATTAAACTTTGGTGCCAAGTGCACAAAGTAAACAAATTGGGATTTGTTTTCAATTTTAAGCATTGTTTATAATTTAAATAGGTGTGGACAGAATAGTGATTTTTTTTTTCAATTTTAGTGGGGTCCCTTTGAAGTAATTTTAAATTTAAAGCTTCTTAAAGAAACGAATAATGGTTAGCATGATAGAAACTAAGCATTAAGAGACTAAATGCAATATATTTTCTATGTAGGGTTTCAAATTACAGAATATTTTTGTGTGAAATTCTAACTCTTAATGTTGAATATGTTCAGTGTTAATAATTGCACTGGAATGCAATAGAATTATCATGGCAATAGCAACTGTAATGATTGGCTTTTAATCTGTAAGTGACCCTTTGTACAACAATTACTGATTTTTCTTGTTTTAATTTGTAATATACAATTTTAATTTAACATTCTAATAATGCAAATCTTGTATAATTAATTGCTTTATTATTTTCTGTATGTCCATAGAATAACAAATTTTATTTTACTTTTGTATTTAATATTTTCATTGCAAGAATTACTGCTTGTTAACTTCATTTCTAATTGCGGTTCAATTAGATATTAATATTTCCTTTGTTTCATACATAAGTTAGCCATATTAAATTTTTCTAAGTTTGGGGAGGAGAATAGACCTTGATAACTGATTTCAGTCTCCAGATAAGGTGATACTTTGATTCTGAGCAGCTCTTGGAATATTTTACTTGGTAACGTCCAAACTACATGCTTATCTAGAAAACAAAATTTCCATATCAATTCTGACTTTCTATAAACATCTTTTAAAAATGGGAAGTTTATCATGAGAGCAGTTTAAAATTTGGTAGTAATTAAACATTGGAAAGGATTACAATGAGTTCATTAATATTTTCCAGACAAGATTATCATATATTATTCTTTCTATTAAATTAGCACAATCTAAGCATCTTTGTAATTGCTTACAGTACAACTTGAGGTTTACAAACACCAGTTACGAATTGAGGAATCAACAGCATACCTCGTTTGGAACTGAAAGTGTGAAGTCAGGCAGCAGCAGAAACAAAAAACCTGAAAAGCCCACAAATATAGTTCAGTACAGTATTAAATGTCAACTACTAAAAAATAAAGGGAAAGGTTTTAAAATAAATTGACAAGATAAGGAAACTGCTTCTCTGCTTATGTTTAAGATAATTAAATGCAGTATTTTACTTCTACATAGTAAAGTTTCAAAGCTGTATTAATTCAGTGCTTAGCTGCAAATTTTCAAAAGAACAGTCCAGAGTTATGAGCAACCTCAATTTTTTGAGGTATTTGTAACTTTGAGGTTATTCTGTAGTTGTTAATCCCATAAATTGATTTGCTTGTAATTGCCAGGAGCCTAAAGGGGTCCACAAAATCCACTTACTCCGGCACCCCAGAAAAATAAATTTGGCCTATGGGAAACCCTGAACCTTAGTCCTTTCTGTCCCTTTCCCTTGCCTTGTGGGGCTGGAGTGCCAGAGGAGTGAGGTGTCTCAATTGGGAGCCTCATCAGTGAGGGTTGGGGTTTTTTTGGAGGAGTTTTTTTCCTTCTCACTTGTGTGGTCCCCAACTGATTTTTCTGGAGGTCAGTGGCCTCCGACCCAAAAAAGGTTCCCCACTCCTGCCATAAATAAAGAAGCTTCAGAGGGGTAGCCGATTTTAAAAAACAACGAATAGTCTGATAGCACTTTAAGACTAACAAAACATGTAGATGTTATGAGCTTTTGCGGGCACAGCCCACATTGAAACCTTTTGTGTTGGACATAAATTAATATTTTACTTTAATTAAAATGAAGTTGGATAAACTAACATGAGAAAGTTAAAATGCTTAATCTATTTAATAATCTAAATTAAATCATCATCCCTAGCTGCAGCACTAGAAAAACAGCTCGGTCATAATTATGTAATTCATGGTGAGTTTCCATTAGCAACTGGTGGTCTGCCGAAATGTTTGTATTCAGCCAGGTGATCCACGGACCAAAATGTTTGAGAACCATTGATCTAGATTTAGACTAGAACAGATGGAAATAGTCTTGTGTTTTTGCCTCTAGGGCAGCTGTTCTCAAACTTTTTGGCCCGTGGCCCACCCTGCTCAATGCAGACCTTTCTGTGGATCACAAGCCAATTACCCATCGTGACAAAATGGAGGCAAGAGGCAGTGGGGAGGGGTTCTAGGAAGGAAGGAGGGTGTCAGAAGCAGGCTGAGGGTGGGAGCTATGGGTGGGAGGTTGTGTGCAGGGTGGGAGTGGGGGCACTGGGAAGGAGGATGCAGGAGTGGGCTGGAGGTGCAGGATGTATGAGGAGAATAAGGGTGTAGGGTCTGGGCATGAGAGGGATGGGGAGTGCTTACCTAGCTCCATGCCTCTCCCCACTGCCAGGCACTGCACCCACCCTCCCCCCGCTGCTCCCATTGGCCAGAATTCCAGCCAATGGGAACAGTGGGAAAAGCCTCCTGGTGAGCAGTATCCTGCACTACCATTCCTCTAGCCGTGGGAGGGAGAGCAACAGTCTGTGGAGCCACTTCCGTCCACTACAAGTTAGATCTGCCCCACGAGACTCATCTCCCTCCTGCTATGGGAAGCTGGCTCTGGCACTTCCAGCCTTGCAGCGGGGAGGGGACACAGGGCTGAAGTGTTAGCGCTGGCTCCGTGTTGCAAGTGAGGGCTGAACCCCAAACTCTGCAGCCCACCTGTGAGATGGGTGTGGACCGTCTGTGAACCACACTTTGAGAACCACTACTCTAGGATTGCACAAAATATATTTACATTATAACAGGGAAAAGAGAAGAAAATGATTCTAGTGAAATAAGATAGCAGACATGGAAACATAGACAATATTTTATTAAAAATGTATTTTATAAGGTAACTGAGGAGACACTGAAGATGATTTTAGAGCAATCTGTAGATATGCTACATGAGGCCAGATAAAGTGGGTGAGATAAGTTTTATTGGACCAACTTCTTAGAAGAGCTCTATGTTGCTCAAAAGTTTGTCTTTCTCATCAGCAGAAGTTGGTCCAGTAATAGATATTACCTCCTCTGCCTTGTCTCTCCAGTACCCTATGACTGATGTGGCCAAGACTACTCTGCATTCAGTTTAAGGAGGCCATTTGTTTTTGGAGCTGTTAGTTTGCTATAGAGTTGTCAATGGCTACCATTGACATTTTGGTGTGTTCTAGACCAGGCGTGAGCAAACCTTTTTTTGCCTGAGGGACATATTGGGGTTCTGAAATTATATGGAGGGCTAGGTAGGGGATGCTGTCTCCACAAACAGCCAGGTATAGCTTGACTCCTGATCCTTATCTGACCCCCTGGAACCTCCAACTCCCCATCCTTTGACCTTCCCTACCCATCCTCCTGCTCCTAGACCCTTCACCCCCATCCAAATGCCTGGGGTCCCTGTCCTCTGACTGCATCACCAAGAGCACTTGACTTGCAGTGCTACAGCAATACTGCCTGGCCAGAGTTGTAGCCATGCCACCCAGAGCATCGGTGCTGGCAGCATGGAGAGCTGAGGCTGCAGGGAAGCAGAATAGAAGAGGAGGGAAAGGGGCTAGAGGGAAAAGGGATAGTCTCCTTGGACAGGAGCTTAGGAGACTGGCAGAAGGGTCCAGTGGGCTGGATGTGGCCTGGGGGCTGTAATCTGCCTCCTTGCTGTAGGTATTAGTAATGGTAGAGAGATAACAACAACACAGATTCCCATTTCTGAAGTAGGAAACATAGGCGTGTTTTCTTTAATTGTTGATGATGAAATTCCTTCAATCTTTTCACTGTCTTTACAAAAAGACAGTTTTAACTTCTTGGAGAATTCTTTCATCCTCATGTATTTAAATATATTTAATCTATTTTTAAATGAGAGGCAGTAATTCATGTAGCAACCTTGAATAGCTATAAATCTAAATAATACAGAATACATAAAAGCTATGTCAAACTGTCAGATTGGAATAATTGAAATTCAAACCAACAGATCATCATTAATACATAATATAGAGATAGTAAAACCTTTTACCTGCAGTTTTGTTCGCTTTTGTTTGTTTACATTCCAAAAATACCCTCTATTTCTAAACAGTGGAAATTGCCTTTCGCTTCTCTTTTAATAAAGTGGAGCAAATTGCTCTGTCATATTCTGGAAGGTGTAATTACTAGAGTCTGTGATGTATTTAGCAAGTAAAATTAGATCAAAACTAATTATTCAGTTTGTTTATATACAGAAAAATTATCTGACAACTAATGAAATAGATCCATATACATTGGGGCTCTCTCTTCCTATCGGTGAGAGGAAGTCAGCCAAGGTAGGTATGCAAATATTAACTCAGTAAATATAGTATATAACTAGAAAATTTAAAAAAATCACTGAAGTTTTCAGTGTTGTGGGAAAAACAGACTCTCCGCTTGACAATGAAAATCCTGTCAAATCTTTTAGCCATTTCATATATGAACAAATTTCTTTATCATTAGGTCAGTTTTAAATGAGGTGAAGCTTTCTAATTCTATAATAAATATTTGTGGTTGATTTAGTTATCTAGATTCTCTTTCTGTATTGATTTGTAGGTAATGAAATAGCCAAATTTTACTTGTAAAATATATAATTCTGGATTATGCCAGCATGTTTGTGTGGTATTAGTTATTATTTGTATTATCATAGGACCTAAAAGCCCTAATAAAGGTCCAGACCCCATTGTGCTAGGCACTGTAAAAACACAGATTAAAAAAAGATAGCCCCTGCTCTAAAGATCTGTATTGATTTGTAGGTAATGAAATAGCCAAATTTTACTTGTAAAATATATAATTCTGGATTATGCCAGCATGTTTGTGTGGTATTAGTTATTATTTGTATTATCATAGGACCTAAAAGCCCTAATAAAGGTCCAGACCCCATTGTGCTAGGCACTGTAAAAACACAGATTAAAAAAAGATAGCCCCTGCTCTAAAGATCTTATAGTTTATTCAGTTTTCATGTACTCTACCAGATGCCTGCTTTTCCACATACATAGTTTTGTATGTAGAGCAAGACTTACAGGTGTAGTGGTTCAATTACTGTAAATAAGGACATAATACTTAAGGGTTTGTATATTAGCACATTGTATATCCTTTTTTTGATGATGTAGAATCCAAAAATTGCTAAAATATGGCAAGCTTTGTATAATAGAACTGAAGTTTTATACAGATACCATAGTTGTCAGTTATATCAACCCTTGAATTTCCGTACCCTTTCTCATGTGTGAAACCTGCTGGGTATTTATATTTACTCAGTGGTTTTTATTATACACTCTGTTTCCCTGCACCTACTTACATTGTATTCTAATAAGTTGTACCTACTTTGCCCTTTATCCGTTTGCATGGGGACACACAAGGGTACGTTGGTGTAGGAGTGGCCTCAGCGGACACAGCTAGCATCAAAGAATCTAAATAGACACAACCTTAATTTTGACATTTCCTAAATTCTGAATGCATGACTTTGCAATCTTATCCTTTTAACTTAGTTTTTGTGTGTCTCTGTAATATGTAATATATAAAATGTATTTCTTAAACAGTTATTAAATTCGTGCCTATGGGAATTGAGTACAGATATATTTAAAAAGTAATTATCTGGGTACATGCACTAATAGGGCTCATGATTAGCTGCCAGTTAGCATTTAACTGATCTTGGGTCTCCAGTGGAGCTTAAAAGGATCTTCAAGGATTTTGTATAGGATTACATAAAATATTGGTTTGTACAATTTTTGTGTTTGTTTATTTTGTACAAAAAAGGCTTGGAGTATTTTTATAAACAAAGTTTCTTTGCCCTCCCTTTTTTACCTTAAGAAGTATCAAGAATGCCAATTTTACTTTTCCCTGGTTTGCTGGAGTAGCTCATGTTGTCTCAGCACACATGTAGTATAAGCTCTCACCTTTTAACTCGCTAGGCATTTTACTCCAAAATGTTTACTAGATATAGTCATTTAATACATGTTACGATAACTAGTTTTAGGTGATCTAAGTAAAAGCCTTTCTCGTTCAGTTGCTCTGCTTTCGGTCTCTTGACTCTTGTGATGTTCTGTAGTCACTACAGTTTTTCAGGTTAGACAACATCTAATTTTTAAAAGTAAAAAACAAACTGCCCTGTTCTTTGAGTGTGAAAAGGACATCTCTCCAAGGCTCCTATAAACATCCCAAAGAAGGGTATGAGTTCAAGTCCATATTTTTTCTGTTGCAGTTAATGATTCATATTTAACCAGAATATCTTATTTATTATTGCTTTATTTTAAACATTTTGGTAACTTTTAAAGAGTAAATAATAAATTGCCTGATACATAAGTTTTTAGCAAACTATTAATGTGATGTATAACATTGTTCTCCTTGAAATTTGATGTTTATTCTAGGAATTTAGAGCTATTGGATGCGTACGGTACTATTACCAGGATAGTTTCAATAGTCATGTGACTATTGAGACTCTTTTTAACCCAACTCAGTTTTGCTAACTTGATTAACTCCATTGAAATTTCCACTTGACTCTAAAGTATATCCATTTTAATGTTTAATTCAAATTTAGCATGTTGAGTTATGTCCTAGGTTATAACTGAACGAGAATCTGTCTGTATACAAATATTATATCTCTTCTGTGGCATAGTTTAGGTATAACTCTGACCCACTGGCAAACAAGGCATTCATGCCTTGTTTGTACATCAAAAAGAAACAAAAAAGTCATACATTGTTCTTCTAATATCTCCTGAAAAGTTAAAAGTCCTCTCCCTAAAACGCAAAGTTATGAAGACTTTTCAATGTCTGTTTCAGGAGAAACTACGGCTTGAAAGAAACAGGGAATACAATCAGTATCTCAGGGACAAGGAAGAGTGGAATGAAAGATTAAGGAAAATAGGAAAGAAAAACGCAGAGGTAATATACATTTTACTGAAGTCAGTTTACTCTGAGAGAAATTAAATGAGATTAAGAATTTTTTTCCAGTTCATTTGTCTAATTGTTCTGTAGGATTTTTGTGTGATAAACTCTTAAGAAGAGTGGTGAAGAATATACGTTTTCAGTAAATATTCTTTCTCAGCACTGTCTCTCTTTTTTTTTTTTTCCTCCCACAGGAAGATAATTTTAGCAATGCTTACTATTCAGTATCCATTTTTACGTCTCAGATTGGTCTCCGTCCCCCCTATTATTCTTGCTCATAGTTTAATTTTGTTTTTTAATTGGGAAAAGTGGGGAACTTTATTTAAAACAAACTGCTTCAAGGCATGTTTATATTAAGTCATTTCTCATCCTTCCCTTTCTTAATGTATGTGAGATCCCTTGCTTAGATTGTAATCTCAGGAATATATCTTTCAGGTGTTTTTTTTTTTTTTTATATAAGATCTGTCCTAAAACAATAATGGAGAGTATTTCTGAACATTTTTAGGCACTTTTTTTTATATCCGTACATATTGTCTACTCTAACACAGCACGATAAAAACATTTTAAACAAGTTTAAACCATTTATTGATTTTAATATTATAGCCACTTTGGGTAGACCCCAATTGTATTTTTTTTGTCAAGTTTGTATTATTTCTGGTGGAAATGGAAAATGTGGCATAAAGACTGACATCTTAACTAGTAAGCTTCCAATGTTAAGGACACAGTTAAGTATTTGTGTAGTCAAATTAACTAGTTAAATTAATGTAAAAATAAATATAAAGCTATATGGTTTTTAAAAGATCTATCTACACACTTATCCCTTCAAGTGAAGTTTGTGGTCATAGATAATCTGGGTGCTTCCCCTGTGAAACAGCCTGTAAAATTGTTTTTAAACCTGAGTCAGGACAGTAAGGCTTTGTCTGTATTTATGTGGCTATTGATGCTCCAGAGATTGCTCTTCTGGGGGTTCAATTAAGTGGGTTTAGTTAGGACCCGCTAAATTGAACGCTGATGGTATCCCAGTCAACCCAGTACTCCATGGGGTCATGAGAAGTAAGGAAAGTATATGTGGGTTTCTCCCATTGACCTCCCACAGTGGGATGCTAGAAAAATTCAATTTAAGGTATGTTGATTCCAGGTATGCAATTACTGTAGCTGGAGTTGCGTATCTTAAATTGAATTTCTTGTGTAGTGTAGACCTGGCTTAAGACTATGTTCGTCCCTACTAGCATTTTTGTTGGTATTACAGATGTTGCTCAGAGATGTGAAAAAACACCCCCTGAGTGATATAGATTACGCTGACAGAAGCACACGTGTGGAAATTCAATAAGGACAAATGCAAAGTACAGTAAACTTCTGATAATCTGGCACCTTTAGGACCCAGGAGGTGCTGGATTATCAAATATGCTGGACCATTGGAAGGGGGGGCTATGAAGAGTCTGGGGAGGAGTGGGTGGGAGGGATTCTCCCCTCAGCGCTGTGGGACCAACCCAGCAGCACCCCAGCTGCTCTGCCCCAGACTTCCCCAAGTCAGCCGCTGCTGAAACTGAACATCGGACGGCTCTGGGAAGCCCAGGGCAGAGCACTCCAGCTGTCAGGGGCAGAGTGGTGGGGTGCTGCCGGGTTGGTACCACAGTGCCGAGGGATGGTGCTACGGGACCAACCCAGCAGCACCCCAGCCCCCCTGC